GGAAGTTATTCTTTGAATCTGTGTAAGATTAAAGAACTTAATGCTAAGAAGGATGTTCAAAGGAATGTACTTTGAATTTGAGACTTCATTTCCATGGAATTGTTTTCCATTGGAATACTTTGTAATTTCTGTTGCCAAGTCTTTGTGACTTCTGTGCATAGTCATTACAAGGGGATCATTGCATATAAGTTTAGAATCTAACAGATTACAGTAGATGGCAAGAGTTTGGTATTCTTTCATTTACAACGAGGATTGGAATTGTGAAATTAGCATCATTGGAATATTGTCAATTGATCTATTTCACAAAGAGAGGACCATATGTAAACATAGTATGCATACTTAGAGTATGGCATAATTGTTGTTTGGAAAAACATAGTGTACATGCTTGGAGCATGGGACAACTAATGTTTTAATTCAAGCATAAAGTTGATTAATCGAAACATAAATAATGAGTAATCAATATGGTGCTTAAATAAAAGGTGTTGGGGCCATATAAGATTAGTATTATTCTTATGTTTCACTTTGCATGTTCTGACTTCCAGAATAATTATGTTATGGTATATATCATATTATTCAAACCATCCACAGTCAGTCATATGTTGGAAGTAGATATGAATCAAGACTGTCATGAATTTGGCTTGTATGATTTGTCTAAAGTGCTTTAGACAATGCAATGGTTGCTACAACATTCATGAGTACTCATAAGGGCTGAGTATTGGATTCAACCCACGCTCACTTGCATCACTTCATGGAATTTATCTCGAGTGATCGTGAGACGGTAATATCATATAAATCTTCAAACCTAGAGATATGAGTTGTTGACTATGAGTTGGTTATTCATTGATTGTACGAAAACGCATTGGTAACTCGATGTTATAAAACGTGCCTTTGTGAATAATTCAACCAGTAGTTAGTACAAGCATATCAGTCGAAGTTTATCTGTTCCTTCTAGAAATAGAAGCGATATCTGGGCCCCTCGATGATTTGGTTTTGACCTATGTACCGGGCCCGGTCAGAACCTAATTGATGTGTTCAATTTAGTTCTATGTCGAAACAAATCAGAGATCGAGAAACAAATGCTGGACAATAAGTAAGACCATGTTCCATGTGTTTGTCCGGCTGATATCATGAGAATAGAGGATTATATGATCACTTATCTTAAATGGCGTATCATCATCATCTCAGTTCCGAGAGACTTTGAAAGAGCTACGATTGCTAGTCGGATTTTGAAGTCATATTTGCAAATATAGTTATTAGACTTATCCAAGTGGGAGACTGTTGGATATAGTGTCTAAGTCCATAACTTTATTTGGTATGTACTTGACCCGACCCGGCATGGTCCATTTGGGTTGCATGGCATTGCAATACTTGGATAGACTAAATGAGAGAATAAGGCACTTATGATTATTAATATATTATAAGTTCTAATATATTAATAATAGTATTATTTAATTAGTATTGATCAAGTATTAATCTAGTATTAATTGGTGATCAAAGTGAGACTAATTAAATATATAGGGTTGATTATGACAATCACCAATTCTTTTATGGTGGATTAATGATCCATGGTTTATGGGTTTGGTTATAACCATATGGAGCTCCATGGATAGTCCATGGGAGTTACAAACCCATGGGTCATGGGAAATCAAGAGTCATGACAATTAAGGGCATTCATGTGTAAACCCTAATTGTGACAACACTATAAAAGGAACCCTATGGCTAGCAAAATCATGACCTAGTGGACCTAGTGTTACTAGAGAGGGCATAACCGATTTTGAGTGCTAGAAGTATTCTCTCAAGTTATTCCAAGTCTTGTGGTGTTGTGTGAAGCATTTGAGGCACAACATTTGGGGTGCTAGGCTCACAAAGTCTTGAAGGAATCCAAGCAACAACAAGGTATGTATTTCTACTAGTTTTATGTTCTATGTAATCCCCATGCCATGCTAGTTAGGAAATATCCTTGAAAAGAAATTTGCATGTATATAGAGAAAACATAGATTCAAGGTTATTAGGGTTGCATGTACACTTAGGAAGTGTTAGAATGCTCAAAAACCCATCAAAGCCTCCTAGACGTCACATGAGAGTCAAGATCCAAGCTTTACGTGATTATCAGGCTTGGGAAGGTCAGATCTATGGGTCTAAGGAACAGATCTGACCTCAGGAGGTCATTTGAGTTTGTGCATGACATGAACTCGCCGAGTCCAAGGGCAGACTCGGCGAGTAGGGTTAGGGTTTCCCGTGAATCACTCAGTGAGTGACTTGCCGAGTTGGGGGAATGACTCAGTGAGTCAGAGGGGGAATAGAGGACTCGAGTTCACGACTGAACTCGCCGAGTCACATTTGTGCACTCGGCGAGTCTGGTCAAGAGTTGACCGTTGACTTTTGTTGACTTTTAGGGTTTGGTCAACAATGGAACTTGTGGACTGTTTGAAGGGTAAAATAGCCTTTTTGCCTTCTTAGAGGACATGTGAGAGTCTAGTCTAGCCTAGAGAGCCGTGATTGATTGAGATGATTATGTTATGTGTATAGGCAGAGGCTAGATCAGTATATACGCAGGCGGGATATTATCCGAGACATCCGAGGTGAGTCTTCTCACTATACATTACCTAGAGTGGTATTTATGTGTAGACCAGAGGGTCTTGTATGCTATGTGTATGTATGAGATTATGTGCATTGTATAGACCGGACCGAAGGGTCCAACGATACAGACCGGACCGAAGGGTCCAACGATACAGACCGGACCGAAGGGTCCAACGATACAGACCGGACCGAAGGGTCCAACGATACAGACCGGACCGAAGGGTCCAACGAGCTATGACCGGACCAGAGGGTCCAACGAGCTACGGGACTAGAGGGTCCCGTTGAGACACATCGGACCGGAGGGTCGTATTGTAGCCTCGAGTGGCGTATGTGTGGTATGTGGTATATTGGGGAACTCACTAAGCTTTTATGCTTACAGTTGATGTGTGATGTGTTTCAGGTACTAGTGAGGATCGCGGGAAGGCGCCGGCATGATTCGTACACACGAGAGAGGATTTATTTATATGAGATCTTGGGACATGTTTTGTGATGATACAGAGATTTATTATGATTTTGTGATTTTTATGTGGTGGAAAGTATGTTTTGAAATTCAAAAAGTTGTCTTGAAAAAAATTGGGTGTTACATATAGTCTGCAGATTGGATCAGGAGTTCGAAACCCCAAGTGGGGGAGATCTGGCTATATGAGAGAGGGCACCAGGATGGATCCATGGTTATGCTCAACAGACTTAGGGCGGTCCTGATAGACTGAAGGCCGGCCGGGGGTACCAGTCAGGCCGAAGGCCCGGAGAACGGTCCAGACAGGCTGAAGGCCCGGTGAGGCGGTCCAGACATGCTGAAGGTTCTGATAGTGGTCCAGATAGGCTGAAGGGCCGGTGAGGCAGTCCAGTCATGCTGAAGACTCTGTATGTATTTTGTTAGATCTACGTTCTGGTGGTGAGCATGGTGCTTTGTGATGATAAGCTGCTGAATTATACATTTCGTGCTTGCGAATTATCACTAATAGAGTACCCTTAGGGACAATTGGTGGTCATGTAGAAGAGCATGGAAACCCTTGTGTAGTCACTTATTCCAATAAGGGAATCATGTGTGGTAGAGTTTTAGTATTGTGATGCTTGTTTGGTGACGGGAGGAACGTTGATTAGACCCTTCGGGCGGCGGAGGGGAAGTGGGTACCTTCGGGCCCGAAGGAATGGGACACCGACGAGAAGACGACAACATCGATAGGTTATCAGAAGCAGTAAGGATTGGGGGGAGTATCAGTCAGGTATCAGAATGAATACGGGGAAATGGTTGCCCCGTATTCCTGCATGTTCGCAAAGTTGTTACTAGGAAGCGGATGTAATGTGGAAGTTCTGGGTTAATCATCTTCTTTCATTGCTCCGGAGATTGGTAATGGCATGGTAAAGATTCAGAGGTTATACAAAGTTTTTGGGTATCATATGGATTCGGACTGTGAAAGGTTCACTATTGACCTGTTGCGGGTCTTCTCTGCATGATTGTGGTAGTTTCAGTCAGAAACTTGGGATGGATTCATGGACGACCATCTCGGGATGGCTTATAATGGAAACTTGCTTTGGGGATCGAAAGTGTATCCGTGTGAGGCATGAACTCTGGAGATCAGTAAGGTAAATGAGGGAAACTCCTAGTAAGTGGGGTGAATCGCGAGTTACAGGAGAAAGTTATAATATCGTCAACGGGAAGATGAGGGTTGCTGGGTTAGAGCGTCCCTGTCTGTCAGGTTCTAAGAACTGTGTTAGATCTTTCTCCCGATTATCTATGGTTACACATTGTGTTGGGAGGGTTGAGGCGGTCCTGCTCGATGCAGTAGGTCAAGACACCCGGTGCAGACCGACTGTCAGTCGTAGGCACAAAGGCCAGGAGGAGTGGTAGGGTTAAGGCGGTAGGCCGACAAACCCTGAGAATTTCTGTAACATCCCGTTTAGAATAAGGTAATTAAATAATGGACCTGGAACCCGAGAAGCAATTTGTACTTTTATTATATGTTATTATTGTCCAAGATTAATTAATTATTAGTGGGTTGTTAGTTTCGGGAGGCCAAATGACAAGAATTGAATCTTCAGGGGTTAAAGTGTAATTTTAAGACTTGATTTGTAATAATTTATTGAAACAGGGACTAAAGAGTAACTTTTGGACCTATGTTGAAAGGGTTTTGAAGGGGAGGGGCTGTTGGGTAAATATTGGTCTGGATTTGAAAGAGATTTCAGAAGGCGGGGGCTAGATTGTAAATTTCGGATTTATTTTAAAAAGATTTATAGAGAGAGGGGCCATTGTTGCTATTATGGGGAGAAGTTTCATGAGGCTCGGGGTATAAAGACCCGTCACCCCGGTATACCCTAACCCTAACCATTTGTTCCAGCCGCCACCACCTTATATCCCCCTTCGTCTTCGGCCGCCACCCCCTTTCACTTCCGTTTTCCGACCGACTAGACCACCGACGATGCTTGCTGCGAATGGAGACCATCGACGCTCGGCGGAACCGAGGGCATTGGCTGCTGCGGTCGCTTCCCGGTGGGGGTACGACCGCCATCTTTCCTTCACTGCAACAACCGTTAGCGAGGCTGAGGCTGCCGTCGAACAAGCCACCATCGTCGTCGCTTCCTTGCTGCTTGTTCTTTCCGCCAACTGCTTCGACATCGCTCCCAGACGCTTGATTCACTCCGCCACCGCTGTGGCCACTAGGAATTGCTGCTGCCAACGGGAATCAGCCCCCTACCGTGTCCTTCTTCTCTTTCTTCGTTTCCGTTCCTGTGTAGCACCGCTGCTGCCCGTTTCTTGATCTGCTGCCGTCACCACCCACCTGTGGTGGGTGATGGGTTTATTTTTTCCAAGCAGAAGTCGGGTTGCATGTGAGCGTGAGTGTGTGTGTGCTGCTGCTTCAAGCTCGTGGGTGTGTGTGTTCAGCCGTGTCTCACAAGCTGGTGGGTGTCTCACGTTGCTGCTGCCGGAGAAAGCCAAGGAAAAACCACCATGGCCGCCGGCCATGGTGGCTGCCGCCTCAAGAACCGCCATGGAGGGTGTGTATGTTTCTGTAGGGTGTTAATTTTTGGTGTATGTGTGTTTATTAGTGGTTGTGTGTGTTAAGCGGATGGTGTTGTAAAATGTAACAAGTGGAATAATGAAAGAAAAGTCTAAACCACCACCGTAGGGTGGTGGTTGCCGCCACCGGCAGCCGTGTCGGGTGGCGGTGTGCTTTGATTGCGTTTGGACCTCGTTTGGGGGATGTTTGGACAATGTGGGATCAATGAAACCCTAGTGGGCCCAATGGAACCCTAATGGGCCCAATAAGGCCCAATGTGACCTAAAAGCCCAACCAATGAACTAATGGGCTAGTATTGGGTTGGAAAACCTTAATTAGGGTTTGGAAAACCCTAATTTTGAGAATTTATCGGGACACACGAGATTATTTAATAACTTGAAATATTAAATAATAATCATTGGTTAAGTGAGAAACACTTAACCCTAATCATAATTTTATGTGAAACCCTAATTTCACTTGGGCCTTGAGTTGGGCCTTCCTATAGGGTTTTGGTGGTTGGACTATTGATGGACCATCCAAGAACAAGTTACTGGACCAAAGTAATTAGATGGGCTTTAGGATAAGGCCCATGTGAGGACTTGGGCCCAATTTGGAAAATTGGGCCATAGATGGGCCATAATTGGGCCTTTACGATTATGTGATATTGGGTCATGGGAATTAGACTGGTCTAATTGGATGGGCCTTAAGGAAAGACCATGTAGAGGTCTGGGCCCAATTCGGAAAATTGGGCCATATGTTGGGCCTTGGCCCATTACTTGACTTTTGGGCTTTTGGAGTGTGAGTTGGACTTTGAGCTTGGGACCCAATTATTAATTGGGTATTGTTTGATGTTGACAGTTCAGGAAGCTGTCAACCAGCAGCTGGAGTTTATTCTGCGGGACTTCAGCAGTGACAGGTGAGTTCTCCTCACTATATATACAGGGTCTACGGCACCAAGGCCGGCCCTTTATGATTGTATCATGGTTTTAGGATGTTGCTATGCTATGTGATCTGTTAGATCCGTATGATTATCTGTATATATGTTAGTGACCTGGTTAGGTCGGTATCCTGGTTATAGGATGTTGTTATGCTATGTGATCTGTTAGATCCGTATGATTATCTGTATGTATGTTAGTGACCTGGTTAGGTCGGTATCCTGGTTATAGGATGTTGCTATGCTATGTGATCTGTTAGATCCGTATGATTATCTGTACATATGTTGGTGACCTGCTTAGGTCAGTATCTTGGGCATAGGATGATGCTATGCTATTTGATCTGTTAGACCGGTTGACTGTTATATATGCTAGTGTATGATATGTATGTGCACATGTTTGTTCGATTGGGGGTTTGGGTTGAGGCGGTCCTGCTTTGTGCTGAAGGCCAACATACCCATGGCGGTCCGGATAGACTACAGACCCAGGAGGGTATGATAGTCAGACCGAAGGCCCGACGAGCGGTCCGGATAGGCTGAAGGCCCTACGAGGCGGTCCAGACGTGCCGAAGGCTCGGAGAGCGGTCTAGATAGACTGAAGACCTGCGAGGCGGTCCAGTCAGGCTGAAGGCTCATTATGCATGTTGTTCTGTATTTGTATTGATATGATATTGGTTCTGGTTAGTATGGGTTGGTATTCTGCGGGTAACTCACTAAGCCTTCGAGCTAACATTTATCGATTATTGTTTCAGGTATTCGGATGATCGCGGGAAGGCGAAGGCGTGATCGTGCACCTCCTTAAATTTTCATGATTGATTATGGGGATACTCTGATGTTTAAATTATTTTGAAAGTAAACTGTAATGACTTATTGGTTTTAAATGTTTAAAAAAAGTTTTAAATTGGCTTGAATTTTTTGGGTGTTACAAGTTGGTATCAGAGCCTTGGTTTGAGTGAATTGGAGGAAACACTCAGGTGCCTCCAGTCTCAAACTGAGGACAAGGTTATAAAGCGATTTTCTTAAAATGTTTTTGAAATAATAAAAAGGAGGATGCAAGTGTACGATCAGTCGGAGCTCGCGGATAGACCCCAAAATACCATACGGATTATTTGATTTGTGATATGTTAGAACAGCATGCTAGTACTAGGCTAGGGATCTTCAGGAATTGCATGATAAAATTGCCTGATTACATGATGCCTGCTAGCCTAGGGTTTCCTTTATATGAGATTGACATCATTACTGTAGTTGCTTAGTGTATGCATCACGGTCATACATAATTAAGATCTTATAGCCTGAGAATGTTTGATTTGGCCTTATGTTCTGTTCTTGTTTGATTTGGAGCTTAGGGTAGGATTGGATATTCGAAAGTCTATAGGGTCCAGCGTTATGTATGGCTAGCATACACTAGTGCTGCAGGGTTGGTGGAAGTTTCATGGACGGGTGAGTTGTGTGGGACCGTAGGTCAGTTGTGAGACAGTTAGCTTTCCTCTAGGAGTGAGGATTGAGTGCTCGCTATGTTTATGTATATTGTTAGGGTGTTGTGGTGATACTTGAGACAAATATGGGTAGGTGTGGAAGGTAGTATGGGCCCGTACCACTGAAAGCACATGACCTATACGCGTAGCAAGGAAGTCACAACCCCTAGGGTTTGGTTGGGAATTGGCTCTTTGTCATTATATGGGTTATCAGACACCTTTCTGGTGTGTTACCAGAATGGTGGTTACGCGATGTCTTGAGACCGGATTCGAGTTAGGATCAGGAGCTGGCAGCCAGGATAGGCCAGCATTGTCAGTGGATCGTGTCGGTGAGATCATCCGGGAGGAGGTGATCGAGATTTGTTCGGGGTCAGATTCCGGAGATGTTTGGGTCTATCAAGACCGCCATGGTTGAGTACCTTGATGAACGCTATGTAGCCATTGCTGAGACGGCTGCCGCAGCAGCTTCAACAGCTGAACGACGGTAGGAGGAGGAGCTGGTCGAGCTTTTCAGTACCGGGACTTGTTACTGGGACATATTCTGATGAGCAGAGCGCTACAGTTATCTGGGATCAGGAAGACGATTTGTACTCGTTATATTTCCGCGGGTTGAGCGGGAGAGGATAACACCCTTAGTTTCTAGATTTGAGGCTCGGGGGTTTTGCTCGAGGCCGGAATGTGAGTCGCGGGGACTCCGGAAAGGAGTGATGATTATGTTCAGCTGGGGTTTTGCAACTGGAAGTAGAATAGTTAATTGATGGATTGGAATGTCGTTTTCCAGGGCAAGGATTGTGCCCTTTCAGTTTACGAGCTCGAAGGATTGAGCAGGCTTATGACCCAGGATCAGGTTCTATTCCAGCTCGAGGTCGGTTAGTCGTCGGGATTGGCGACAGTATTTCAGCGCTGGTGAGCGAGGGTGAGTCGAGGTGGCATAAGTATCTTGTAAGATCTGATTCGCCTTGGATCTCTTGTATCGGGCGGTAAGGATTGATTGTACGATCTATTGCACTTTTGGGATTGGAGACTATGCCTTGGGAGTAGTTTGCAGCCCGGTAAAGGGCCGAGGTTACCTCTGCTACTGCAGTTCAACTGCGGATGATCAAGCTGGTGAGTGAGTCAGGGTGCGAGACCCTGAATGATATTATTTCTAGAGCCGAGGGAGGGAGATTTGTTGGAGCACTTTGGGAAGAAGGGTATTATGTGGGAGGTCTGCGGACCGGGTCCCACAGGATGGTTATTCAACATTGTCAGAATTCAGTGGTTTTAGTAAGCGTTATTGATTGGCGAAGGAAAGCGCCAATGGAAGTAACTTGTGGCTGTCTTGTTAGTTGGAGCATCTACCTTTTTGACTTCAGGACTTGAGTGTGGGATAATTCAAGTATTAGGGACTGACCGTTTCACTGGGATTCAGGAGGTGTTCAGCTAGTTCTTAGAAGTGTGTGATCACTTGTGGTTGGCGAGTAATGGAGCCCTAGTTGGAAAGAGATGGTGGTCATCAGATCGATCGTTGGAAAGTGAGGGGAATTGGGAATTCTCAAATTTTCATGTATTGTGAAGACTTGGTTGAATCTAAGTGGGGGAGAATCATCCCGGAATGCAGAAGCAGGATCGGTTTTGAAACTGGGATAAGTTATATATATCGTTTTCGGGAAGGAAGACAACCCAAGTGGCTGTTTGGTTTGAGAGTTATGTGAGTTGGGAGTTCGGTAAAACTCCCCAGCATGGGAATCGTGTCCTCTTGGTGCTTGATAGCAGAATTTGGGAAATTAGGTTGGGATTCTAGCCATGATTTTAGTTCAGTGGTGTGTTAGGTCGAGCGCGTGTTCGACCAGTATGGAAAGTGTTGTAGGTCTATGGGTGTAGCGGCAAGATTCACTAGATTGGTAGATAGCATGAGCGCGTTGTTAGGACGCGGAAGGGACAGTAGTGACCACCAGCTCGGGTGTAGTAGTGAGGATATGGAAATCCTCAGACTGGCGATTAGACCTGATTAAGCCAGTGATAAGACTGTAGAAACGTTACTACAGTTATGAGATCAAGGAAGCAATGGGTTGCTTAAGGTTGCTTATGATGTAAGGCTACCATTGGTCATGTAGCAGTCGCTTTTAGCCGTGGAATTGAAAGCGACAGGATTCGATGCATGGATCCGATCGGTTGGATCAGGAGGTTGTTAGAGTCGCAGTGGCATGATAACTAGTGGCAAGTAGTTCCAGGGTAGGATTTCGTTCGAAAGTCGTGTGACGCAACTATGTGGGAGTCCTTTAGCTCCGCGACCGGGCCGAAACCCGATATTTCAGATGAGTGTTACTTGGTTATGACGAATCAGAGGATTTTGGATGAGATGCAAGGATAGG